AACACGAGCTGATCTATTTCAATCACCATCATTTGTTTTATCATTACGTCAACCTTTAAATCATGATGATGAGAATTATGGTGAAGTATTTGCCGGTACATTAGCATGGTCAGGTAATTATCAAATTCAATTCGAAATTGATTCACTTCGTAATTTACGACTTATTGCTGGTATCAATCCGTATGCATCAGAATATGTTTTAGTTCCAGACAAAGAATTTATCACACCTAGTTTTTTTTTTACTTATTCTTGTCAAGGTTTAGGTCTAGTTAGTCGAAATTGGCATCGATGGGCAAGAAAATATCGTATACCACAAGGTGAAGGTAATCGATTAACTTTACTTAACAATTGGGAAACAACACTTTTTGATTTTGATGAACAAAAATTAGTTACATTAATTAAAGATAGTAAAAAATTAGGTGTCGATTTATTTCTTCTTGATGATGGTTGGTTTGGTAATAAATATCCTAGAAATAATGATAGTGCTGGTTTAGGTGATTGGCAAGAAAATGTTAAAAAATTGCCACATGGTATTGGTTATTTGATAAGTGAAGCTGAAACAATAGGTATTAAATTTGGTATTTGGATAGAACCGGAAATGGTAAATCCTAAGAGTGAACTCTATGAAAATCATCCTGATTGGGTTATTAAATTACCGAATCGATCCGAATACTATTTTCGTAATCAACTTGTACTTGATATGTCTAATCAAGCAGTTCAAGATTTTGTTTACGACGTTGTTGATCGATTATTTACTGAACATCCGAAATTAGCTTATATTAAATGGGATTGTAATGCTGTCATCTATAATGCTTATTCTACAACAAATTCTCATCAATCTCATTTATATGTTGATTATGTTCATGGTTTATATAGTGTTTTAGATCGTCTTCGAAAAAAATATCCTTCTGTATCAATAATGTTATGTTCAGGTGGTGGTGGACGAATTGATTATGGTATTTTGCAATATTTTACGGAATTTTGGCCAAGTGATAATACTGATGGATTAGAACGTATATTCATTCAATGGAGTTATTCATTCTTTTTTCCAGCTATTACAATGTGTAATCATGTTACTGATTGGGGTAAACAATCATTAAAATTTCGAACAGATGTAGCTATGATGGGTAAATTAGGATATGATATTGTTGTTAGCAAACTTGATGAAAATGAACTTATATTCAGTCAACAAGTACTTGATAATTATGCACGTTTAAAGAATATTATTTGGCATGGTGATCTATTTCGACTTGTATCTCCATATAGACAAGATCATGATATTGCATCACTAATGTTTGTTAATGAAAATCAAGACAAAGCACTTTGGTTTACATATTTGATTAATAATCGTTATCGAGCTGGTAGTAATAGGGTTATTCGATTAAATGGACTTGATCCGATGAGAACGTATACAATTCAAGAGATTAATATTTATCCAGGTACTGATAATTCGACGATTATTTTTCAAAACTCTTTATCTGGTGATTATTTAATGACATTTGGATTTAATCCAATGGTAGATGTACAACGACCAAGTGTTGTCCTGGAGATGACAGGACATATTTAATAATAATGATTCTTTTTGTGAACCCTAAAAGTCGTTCATTTTTTATAACTGTGTTTTTTTTATTATTTATATTGATTAAATATAATATGTAGAATACTAGACTAGATTGATTATCATGAAAAAAAATATTAAATATTTTTACTAAAATCATGTCAAAATAAATAAATGTACTCTAGAGGCATGTCTAGATAAAATCAAAGATATAATCAATACTGTCCAATAAAGACTATTAATAATCATATCACCCTCTCACAAGACAACATTCTAGCGTAGTGTAACTGCTCCTTATTTATGATACAACACAAAGTAAATGAAATCTTCGAGAGAAAAAAACCATCATCGCAATATAAACACATAGAATTTGAATTATTTTATTTTTCATTAATTATTATCATAATATTATAGTCGTTTCACGAAAATATTTGAATCTATTATTGCAGTTTTATTTTTGACATAACAAAAAAGTCCTAGTAGTATTTGATTGAGTCAAACAAGTCTATTCTAGAATACTACTACAGCGAGTATTTTGTATTAAGAATTTACACAGTAATCACGAGAAGTACCAGCATGGGATAAAATGTATATAAATTTGAGTACACTTGCCTGATAAATTCAGATCGCAAACAGCAATCCGAAGTTGGCAGATCTGAATGCAAAGGGTTTACAATGAAAACATTGTACTCTTCCTAGGATTCAAAAAAGCTTTTTTTTGACACTTTTCTATTTTCCTACTGTTTAAGTACGTTAATCTTCATTTTATTACTAACAAATAATGGTTCGTATGTCTATATTGTGTCACAGATAGGGGACTTTAATCCAATTTAAGCTTAAGGTGCAAACAAGTCTCTCTTGTCTGAGACGGTTTCACCATAGTTTCCTTTATTATCGATGGTTGTAATCGAGAAATATTTAAGACAAGTAGTTCAATTTAATCGGAAATATGAATCACTTTTTAACCAATCCTATCAACTTTCACATGGAGACTACTGAAATATTTTAGAGTCATCTGTTCATCTTAATCTATTGTCATTTATATTTTTTGTTCCCTTCTTCTCTCTATTCGATTACCATATATAGTTTTTCCTTTCTGTTCTCTTGTCATAGGTATTTTTTCCTTCTATCATCTGGTCATATGTGTTTTTCTATATACAGGTATTTTCCTTTTTCTATTTGTCATTTCCTAACAAGTGTTTTATCTTTTTACATCTACCTTGGTTATTTCCCTTTAACATCTAACTACTAACCCTTTATGAAGTAGTCGAGATATCGATAATAAAGCGATGAAATACGTGTCGTAAACCTATCTGTTCTTAGTTACCAACTTATCTATATCTATAACTTCACAATTAATTTACTTTATATATTAGGGAAAATAAAAACCATTTGAGTTGGGATTTTTATTGGCGATAAAGACGACATTGAGCTATTGAATGAGGGGTCTAACATCATGAGAATAAATGGTTTCTATGTAGACACGTATAGTATTTATTAGATGAAGCCATATGACAACTTTGTTCATGTACGGAAGCGAAATTTCATGTCCCACAAAAAAAAAATACTAAAAAAAGGATTAAATTTATATAGATACTCACAATGAAATGTAAATACGGCATGCATAAAAAAAAAAACAATATATTCTAATTATCTTCATATACGCAATGCATAAACGTCTTTTGATATTCCAGCTGCTCAATACATTTGCAAAAGACCATATTTACTTTCTAGAGACGATAGTTTAAATGATAAAAAAGAAAATCATCAAATATATGAAATACTATTGTGTACAGCAGCTAATTTGACATATTTTTAGTCTTATGAATCCGTTTCTACATTATCTTTTGATTTTGGTGTTCAAATGAATCATCGACTGAAGAATACAGATAAATAAGCATTATATTACGAAATATTAAGGCAAAATATATCTATATTATCAATCATTACTGATGGTTATGTTTCGAATCCAAATATCTATCATCATATATAACTTCATGTATCGTATTATCGAGATATTTTCAATATAGTTTTGGATGGGCGAACAATCAAATACAGCTTTGCATTTATTAGAGTTAGTTGATGATATAGAAACAACAATCACTCTTTTATTTGATTGTGCGCAAATATATTTGATAATATCGATGTGTACGACAAAATCTTGAGGAAGTTGATAGTGGGTTGAATTTATTTTGACTAATTTTTATCTTCTAAAGCTGTGTTTTATATATTCATGCCAGTACCCATATGTTCGATTGCGGCCAAACTGCGTCGCAATTTCTAAAAGAGATGACAGAGATGAGATTTTCATTATATTAATATTTTTATTGAGAATTCAAAAAAAAACTTTTTAAACACAAAAAATAAAAAAACTTTAAAAAACTACAAAATTGAAAATTCTTACAAAAAACTGAAAAACAAGAATTTTCAAAAAAAACTACTGATAAAAAAAATTTTTAAAATTACAAAAAATTTAAAAAAATTAGAAAAATAAAAAAAATAGAAAAATTAAAAAATTAGAATGTTAATAAAAAATTAAAAGTTAAAAAAAAATAAAAAATAAAATCTAAAAAAATAGAAAGCTTTGAAAAAATTAAAAAGTTAGAAAATAAATTGAAAAATTATTTGTCAAATATATATTCTACCTTTTGTAGTAGAATGAGTTATGAGCCGAAATGTCTTGGACAATGCTTTTTGATACGGTCTTTCTCTGGCTAAATTTTACTGCTGGAGTATGACCAATTATAAAGAAGGAGCAATCACTTATCATTGATCGATGCCAGTTACAGCGGATTGTACGATGCGATTACTGCGATGCAGTTACGTTGGTCTGCGTCGCAGTAACCGCAGTTTCTGATACCGATTTTCACTGTGATCAATGCGCCGCAGTTACGCACAGTTGCAATAAAAATTTCGCAGTTACGCACAATTGCGAGGCAGTTGGCCAAAAAAGACGCGACATGGGTGCCTTGGTAAGCATCAAATATGCTGCATATGTATACAGCGTTCACAAAACTCCGTGGATCAATTTCCAAGAACTAACGAAAAAACAACCAAGTTGTATAAGTTTTCTACATATCTGATGCTCAATAAAAACACAGTCATGAATAAATTAGAGAAAGCTTAGGATGCAACTAACAGTCAAATTAATTCGCACGTTTCACCAACTTTTCTGAAGTCAACATTTCATCAATCATGTTAAAAGTACAGAACTTAATAGGAAATCCCTACAATATCAATGTAATGGACAGCTATATATATATATTGCTCACTGGATTGTAAATGATTTTCTTTTTTATTTCAAAGAAGTACTACTTGGTAATACATTTTATATGGTGGAGAAGCAAGAAGAAATATTAAAATAAATTGAAGATAAGAAGTTTTAAGATTTTTCGGTTAAATTCGTACAAAGTTTCAAATGTTTGAAAAGTCAATCGTAGTTTTAAACTTCAACTGTTCCATTTGGCAAATCAGATTCATTGTGAAGAGTCAACGAATGAGTATCTGTAGATAATGTGTCTTCTGATTGTTTATTTATTTCATTCACACGATCAATTCCTGTAGTATCATGTGTCGGAATCAAATATTGAATAAATGGCTTTGTCTCATTGTTCGGTTCATCACGTGTACTAACATCTGTCATAGACGTAATGTCTTCTTCGACGATCGTTTCGCTCGGTGCTATTCGGCGTCGATTTCGAATACCGGGTTGTTTTCGAAGTTTATAATCAATGAGTTTGTAATCGATTCCTGTTGACATCGGTGAAATAGAAATATCACGCACAGCACGAAATTGACCACAATTATTCAAATGTTCATTTTCTAGTCGAAAAAAATTCCAAATAAATCTGCGAAATATTTCTACGAAACCGAAACAAAACCCAATCACATCACTATATTCAGCTGAATGTTCATCAAAATAAATAAATATATTAATTACCCAAGCGAATCGAAACAATACATTTTCCACAATAGCTGCATAGTAATACTTTTTTGATGGATAAACAAGTTGTTCGCGTAAATATTTATTCTTACCAGCTTTTTTATCAAAAAAGCCCCAATCCATTGTGAGATCCCATGTAAGTTTGTATACAGTCCCAATAATCGCGGCGAGTACCCATAAGTAAAGAAATGGATTTGCCATTTTGTTATTAACATATTTTGTAATGGTCCCACGTCGCAGTGAATTCGTGATCACGACAAAGAAGCCACTAGCGTATTTGCCTGCATTAGTTAAATGTGGAAATGCCTGTTTTGTATCACGATATCGTCTTAGACATTGTGCAAAACGGAACCATGATGGTAACATCATAAGAATAGCTTGTAAGAAAATCTCCGTCCAACCTGCACAAAATCCTGTATGAGATGTTGATGGCGATGTCATATCTGTTGACCACCATGTGCTATCCGCAGCGTAGAAACAAAAGAACGATTGCAAATCAAAAAAGACTAATTCAATTGAAGTAAACTGATCGCCAAGCCAAAAATCAGTAAAACCAACAGGATGAAAAGGAGAAGAGAAAACTCGAGCCAATTTTTTTATGAACCAGAAGCGAGCTTCACGATAAAATATTGGTATTGGATTAATAACAAAAAGAATCAATAATCCAACAAATATAAGTGGTTGGATGAAAGGATAACTGCCAAAATACGATGCGAGAATGAATCCGATAAAACTAAGAAACCAGAGAACTAATAGAGATGTTCCAACCTCAAGAATGCGTTGATAAGTTAAATGATGGCGTGGATCAATTTCAAATATAAGAATATGATTAACACCTGATTTAGACCAACCATAAACATTGATGCCAGAAAAAATAACTTGAACAATAATCAAACATGTGGAACGATAGAGTAGAAGTGCTGCACGCCACTCCAATGCTTTATTCAATTTACTTGTATGCAATTGATTAGCGAATGCAAATATAGCCGGTAATAAAAGACAAAGCATTCCTAGAGTTTAACTGACTTGTTTTTTTTCATTGAATAAGAAATGAATGACCTTACCAACAAATAGTCCAAGACGAAATGCCACCATTGGTGAAGTTTTTTCCTCTAACGGTGGAACACGAAGACGTTTCATTGCTTCTGCTCGATTGCCAGATTCGAGCGAATCCGTAAATGTATTTTCTATATCTCGAATAAGTTCATTGACTTTGGTAGATGTGTGAAATGGCGCCACATCAATATTAGCTTTTCTATAATAAAATAAATATATTATGATCAAAATACAATTGACATAAGATTGATCAAGTGGAAAATCAATGCCAAAAACGTTGAGATTTTCTCATAGATTCATTCGGGACGGCTTTCAAGAGTCAAAGCCTACTCTTTTAAAGTTGTTTACATTGATGCCACAATCTTACAAGAGAATATTTTCGACTAATCAATCGCTTTTCAAATTGAACTGAATGTATAAGGTAGACTTCAGTGAGATATGAAAAATCTCAAAAGGATATGTCTTCTCAGTTCTACTATCCAAAGCTAAAGGCATTTTAATAAAATTTTAGTCTCTGGAATGGTATATACCAACACATCGAATGTCGACATTTCGACCTGAGTTTTTCCCATAGGTAGGTCTATTTGTCATTAGCATGCAGAGATGTCCATCGCGGCTGAAACTCTGCCGCTGCCGCGCCGCGGCATTAGAAAAAAAAAGTTACCGTGCCGCTGCCGCGCCGCGATGGGTAATAAACTTGCCGCTGCCGTGATGGTTTTCAAAAAAGTGTTTCGATTTTTACTGCTGCAACTGTATTGGACCAGAAATATTGGTACTAGTTCATCAGATTCATTCAGTCTCGGGGTGTTTCATTTGTAAACAATGAAATTCTATTAAATTCATGCAGTTTTTCAATGTCCTCGAAAAAAAATGCTGCCACTGCCGCGATGAGCTTTTAAAAACTCTGCCGCTGCTGCGATGAGTTTTTAAGAAAGCTGCCGCTGCCGCGCCGCCACCGCCACGGCGGCAGCGGCAGCACCGCCATGGACATCTCTGTTAGCATGTCGTGAAATTTCAGCTCACAACAATATTTCCTTTTCGAGATATCAAATTTCAACAATAACTCATATTCAAGACAAGATTCTAGAATTTTATGTTGCTTGGGACTTTAATATCTCGAGAAGAAAATATTTTATTGAACTGAAATTTTCAAGACATACAAATGACAAATAAATCCACATGTGGAAAAAACTGCAGATCGAAATATCATCATTCATTTCGCTGATATATAACATTGCTGAGGCTAAAATTCTATTAAAATACCTGTAACTTTAGACAGAAGACATATCCTTTTGGGATTTTTCATATCTTACTAGAGTTCACTACATGTACTGTGTTCAAGTTGACAAGCGATTGATAGTTGAAAACGTTCTCTCATTAGACTAAGTCTGATTCGTTAGGATGATTTCATACAATTATCCTTAAGTCTCCATCAATTTTTTTTCGAAATCGATTAAATAGCTGTAGAAAAACTTGATTCAACAAAAATAGAAGGGTTTGTTCATTTATATTGTGCATTATCAGATTTATCAAAAACTAGCTTCGTGCACAAGCTACAAAATTTTTGGAATGTATTTTCAGTTTCATAGATAATCAGTGTATTCAGAGATAAAAGTTATTAGGGAAGACGTAGTTAGTAATGGAAATTGTCTTTTTATGATTTTCATTGACTAATTACATAAGTAAACTATGATTTGGTCAAGTTAGGATGTTATTGAAAAGAAAAAAAAAATATTTTGTAAATAGATTATCCGTAACAAATATTCGTAGATTAGGATACAAATAAATATTGCGAACAAAAATAGTCGTTCACATAGGTATAAAAACGATAAAAAAAATAGTGTGTGAACATCAAAAAATCTAAAACTGTGAAATCTTACCGCCATTCGTCACCGCGTGTCGTTTGAAATATTTTATCATGTTTTTTCAATATTTTACGAAAGCCAGTAAAATTAAGAACTTGATAATTTTGTAAAAGAACCAGCATCAAGTAGAACTCACTAAAAGCTGCTTTTAAATTGTTTAAATTTTTGTAATGTTTAGGTTCCGAGCTTCGTTCAGATGTTTTATTGGCTAATCGTCTAGATACAACATTGGACAACGAGCCAATCAAACTTTGTCGAGAGGTTGAATTTTGTAAACCTGTTGGGTAGCTGTTACCATTGGCGACATTGTTCATTCCGTGATCAAAAACAATAGATAGTCTGTGTTGAGGACCATGATGATCGGCTGATTTCATGTACTGGAGTTCATCTTTGAGAGTTTCAAAACGTCGTAATGCTCTAGAAGTAAACATTCTATGCTTTTATCGTTGTCATTGAAGGGATTGAATATTGAACAGTGTATTAAAAGATACTTAAAGCTAATTGTAGAGCAAGTCCTACTTTGGTGAAACCGACTTTGTAGAATCATTTTAGCGCGTATAAACATTCATAGTTTTTCCAGTAACTATGAGAGATTTCATTTCTCAGTTCATTGCAATGAATAGATCGGATATTTCTTTATCTTATCAGTAGATGATCGAAACGTCTTCTCACAAGAGTTGTCAGAAAAATTTCAAAAACCACTTGTATATTTATATTTAAAAACATAGTTTCTTTCTTTTTTTCTTTTTCCGTAGATTTAATGAAAAATAATAATTGTTTCGTTTTGTTATGTCAAACTAATGTACAGCATCGTGATTTATCGTAATTTACTATTTTTGGAGTTTTAAGCATCTAGAATAAATTTGTGCTTTTCATGGACCGCATGAGTTTCGTTTAGCATTTTTGCTCCTACAAAATGAGTTCTCAAGCTTGAAACTACGATGCTACATAGATAGAAAGTCACCTAACAATCATCGTAATCGGCTACTCTCCTGATTGATCGTGATTTCGTGATGACGATAGAATTTTCTCTGCGATGCTACATAATAATCTAGTTTTAAACGAATCACTTTGCAGCGGTAGAAATGCTAAACAAAGTCCATATGGTTTGAAAAATACATCAACTTGCTATACATCTTTGAAATTCAACAACAGTCAATCACAATAAATCATGATACAGTACTCGACATCAGAATACTTCATTTGGATGTAAAACGTGAATTGGCTTCGATAGCTAGGAGTAAATTGCATTTCATTGTGAACAATTCACAAGCTAAGTTGCTATCTACCCAAGCAGACAAGAATTTGGAAAAACGCGTTTAAACCCGACAATCGGGAACCGCGATTGTGATCCACTCACGCTCAAAAAAATAACGCCGTTTTTTCCGTGTTTCGCGTTTTTTTGCGCTTAATTTTCATTTTTTGGCCGTGAACACGGCGAAAACCTCACTTTTTGAGCGTTAAAACGTGCTTTTACTTCTGAAGCTTTCTGGAACTTAAAAATCAAGCGTTTTAGCGCTCAAAAAGTGGTGTTTTCGCCGTTTTCACGGCCAAAAAATGAAAATTAAGCGCAAAAAAACGCGAAACACAGAAAAAACGGCGTTATTTTTTTTGAGCGTGAGTGGATCGCAATCGCGGTTCCCGATGGTAGGGTTTAAACGCGTTTTTCCAAATTCTTGTCTGCTTGTGTAGTTAAGCGCTCGAAAAAGTTCGATAAAATTGCTCGATTTGGTAATTATTTAACACATTAGTGGACAACATAAGGGCTATTTATTGAAGAGGTTCTAATCATTTAGTTTTTGTTGTTAGAGCAGAATCCAAATTATATGGAAAAAACTATTCTCAAAATTCTGTCTTTTTAGAGTGTTTTTATAATCAGGCTCATCGAACAAAACCACAAAGAGAAAGTGACTTTTGAAGTTTTATTGATTTCATCTTTCACATCTTTCGACACAATATTTGTAAGCATGAATGCTTTGTACAAATTTTGATCGGTGGCTTTTGTCATATTTTTTTAGTAGAGATAGAATTCATTCATTGAGATTTGTATAATACAGATACATTCAAAAGCATTAAAAAAAGGTGACGTCTACATCCAATCGGTCATTAGATAGGCATTTCAACATGTCGATTTAAGATTGTCGGTGTCATCGGAACCTCAAATGTGTTCCTTACATTCTCACTTTCCAATAGGTTGATGGTTCTGCCATAATTTGTTTAAAAGGCTAAGTTTTGAACCACTCGAATGATTTTGACTGATGAGACCAAATTTTAATGGGAACAAACAGGATATTTTTCCTATAGATGACTTTTTCTCAAGTCCTTGAAATCTATTGGATAAACATATGGGAAAAGATTCGAACATGAAGATTTAGAATTAACATTTGTCAAACATCTAAATTAAATACGAACTACTGTTGTTCTATGAAAGTGATTCTTTCAATTCTTACAATAGTAGTACTTTTCAGATTGTTATTCTAACATTTGCTAATAGTTTTTGAAAACTAAAGAGAAAAAACGTTTTAAAATTGAATAAAAACATCTTTTGCGTGTTTCAAACAAAAAAGAAGGCTGTTTTGAAGTTTCAGCTGCCATATAAAGAGCTTATTTGTATGATAAAATATAAAATCAACATAAAAAAAAACATTTTTCCAGTATTCAAAACACTTTTGCATTTCGGTCTTAGTTGTTATTTTTTATCAGTTAATGTTAAATATTTGTTAGAAAATTATGACACGAATGAAAATATATGTCCAACATCAATCATTCTACTTAAGTAGCTGAGTGAAAGAGACACTTGTAAATCACCACTTTTTGAAATAGTGTCGCAAAATCAAAATTAAGCTCACTGCCTGAAACTGTTTTTCTGCTTGGATTGCTTGTAATGAAACATTCACTATTAGGCTTCTTTTCTCAAGCACTTGAAACTTCGATGAGTGTGTCGAGGGATGTAAAAGTGCTTCAGGAATGAAAATGAATGTTGAATAGGACACAGCGTTCGAATAATAAGTTTGCTCTGGCTGCCGAAGCACTTAAAATCGGAATAAAGCGAACAAAAAAAACAAATGTATTTCACATGTTCGAGCACTTGTTGCATCGATTATATGCCTTTTAAAGTCTGCTCGAGAAATACATCGGTAATTTAAGTTGGCATAGCTCTGTCGAAACTCTTTGCAATTAATTTCTACTATGATAAAATCCTGAAGTTAATCTTCGACAAGAAAACTAGCGAACATATTTTGAAAATCAGATTTTAGTAGCGGATGTCAATATTTTTGTACGATTTCTACAGTTTGTCTACATATTCTCATAATGTCTAACTCTGAAAAGTCCAACGATGACTTCCGATCGTTACTAGCTAATAAATCAACGGCGCAAAAAAAATATTATCTTGATTGACATTCAACTTTGATTTCTTCGATATTCAACGAGAGTGTTGTTTTAGCTGTAGTAACGTTTTTTCTTCGGTGTGATCATTGAAAACGTATGCATAAATTGCTGAACAAAAATAGAATTTTTCATCACGAACGTAAACTATCGTTAGTCCAACGTAGTCTGAATCTCCGTTGACAATTTTATAAAATTTTGATCCTTTTTTTGACAAATGTTACTTACTCAGCCAGTTTTTCAGCAAAGAAAGTATTGATCTTTGTTAGTTCTTTATCGCAAACCTAGAAGAAAAAGCAAAATTTATTTTTTTTTAAATAAAATGATACGTGCACATTATTCTCACTTGAAAAAATGAAACATCCACTTCACGAAAATATTGTTCACGCAATCTATTGTCGCCATCATCCGTTACGGCTGGTGCTTCAACTACGGCTTGTTCAAGCAACTCTTTCAAATATTCGTATTCAATATATCGAGAACTCCATTCTGGAGTCACATGAGATACTAAATGTTCACCGAACTTCATCTTAAATATCGATTCAAAAATTATAATTCTTCGAAGTAAAAACTAATGTTTAGTAGCATATATAAATGAATTAATACAATGTTAAGAAAACTTATATTTCAAGAAATAGAATGGTCGAGTATAATGCATATCTTAGAGCATCTACAGTTAAGCTGCTTAACACTAGCATACACTCTTTTATCGGCAAAAGTAACATGAAAATTGTTATTTATATAAGTATTTGGTATTTTTTTTTTCATACAAAAACGAAGCCCTTAGGCATCATTTATTTGGTGGAACAGAAGCTTGAGTTTATATGCATTCAATATCTTGAATGATTCATGTACAAGAATAAACATGATTTATTTCGATATTACCTGTATTGCGCAGTGATACTAAATAAATAGAGAGAAGAAATAACTAGAATTTCTTTTAATTTTTCTCTAGATGTATACATTGTCAGATGTCAAATAAAGAAGTAATCTTACTTCGTAAAATTACTAACTTGTTAAAAAGACCGCTTTAATCTAAATAGTCCACTAATTTTATCACCATTCATTAGCTAAATATTCTCAGTAACGTAGCCAAATTACGAAATTTTAGAAAGATCAGATCTGAAAATTGAATTGAAGCATTCATATGGAAAAAACTTATCATAATTATGTTTTTGTTGCCATATGTGAAAGAAAACAAATATCAAAGCGATATTAGATGTTAAACTGCTAGAAAAAGTATTTCTTCTTAAATCTGAGCTGCTATTAGAGCTACAAATCAAGATATTTCGCAGTTTGTTCCGAGCTCGATCTTGGGAAAAAGAAACAGAGATTAATATTAAATATTTAAGCCTTAAGGAAAACAGAACCAAGAGCAGGATTTACAGGAAAAAATGTTAAGCCTGAAATGAAACGAATTTTGTTAGTACATTGGAAGACTAGTCTAATCCTGTTTGCAAAATACGTGTTATATTATTGCAAAACAAATAGGAATATTATTCATCGCTCAAAAGATCAACGCTGAAAAAAAGAATTAAAACTTGCAGTATCAGAAACAAAAATGATTCCTATTATGTTGTCTAGGTAAAGATCTGATAATTTGAACATTTTCATTATGTAGGCAAAAAATTTCATCGACAAAACATTGGCTTCTATCAAGTTCATACAAAATGAGTTATAATCAGTATGAATCTATGTCACTGTAAATTTATAACTTGAGAAAAAAAACAACTTTTTTACGCCAAGTAAGTAATCATTTATTGTAGTCCTTCCATGTAGTTATCTACTCTAGAAATATCAACAGTTTTTATTGTAATGAAAAAAAAGAATAATTATTTACTCGTAACCATCGATTGTCAGCCGAATTACTTGCTTTATTTAACAAGTAACGCTCGTCCGTGTGACTCGCTTGACCCTCGACTGCATATTCGGTCCTTTCCATTTTTTCTTCCGATTTACAGTCTTCAACACAGCTAATATCGGATGTTCGAAAAGAGTGGGTAGGTATGTGTACGCTGACATTGGCGTCAATCTCATTGTGCGTAATTTTATGCGGGCCCGGATGAACATTTTGTTACAAATGCATCCAATGAAATTGATACCATCACATTGACACTCAACAATAAATCTAAGGAACCACACTATGATGACGACATCCATATGTACCCAAAAAGCAGCTTATATTCAGCTTTCTGAGACGTATTGAAGCAAAGCTCATTCGCGACACTTTTGTGAAAACGCGCCATACTCCTTAAAATTTCTAGTAAAAGTCCGTTCGCTTGCTGACACATCTGCCGACAATATTGTTTACTAGAGCGTCCGCTAGCAAAATAGGGCTTACTTGAACTTCTAGCTTACAATTTATCATATTAGGTCTGGTATATAATCGGACTACCACACTTAAAAGAAGCTCCTACTTATATTACCCATCAGACTGGATAGGTAGTTTCAATATATCCAAATACATTTCGACATTTGAATCAGTATCGACAAGAAAGGATCCCACCAAGGAAACCCCCGTTTATTTCATTCAAATAGCATTCCGATAGAACGAATATAAATTCTATAAATAATGTTTTCCCTCGAATGTACTATTCAAATATTCCACACATGCAGAAAAGCCGTTCTCACACTTTATTTCAAAATATTTCTCAGTTCTTAGCAACTGCTACTCCTTATTCAAGCCCGTATGACCTAGACTCTTGATGTCTATTTGATCAATACCAGCAGCCTGAAGCATTTCTTTAAGGGACTTTCTAGTGCAGCGGCTAATCGTTCGTCGGCGCCCCTCCGGGACGCCATTCACGACTAGCCGCTGCTATGTTTCGTTCTATTTCTCCACAGTACCATCCTTTTTTATTTACACTTCATCTACACCCAAACTCGGCTTAATTTGAAAAACCATTAGATCTATAGCATGAGAATTCTCAACGGGGATTTCTAAACCAAAGCTTCATTGTGAACTATTTCTGATTTCTTCAATTTCATTCTGCAGCTGAAAAA